CGGGGGGCGGGGCGGAGGAGCCCCAGGACCGCGCAGGCCCGGCCCTGGCCGGGTGCCCTCTGCTGCGGGCCTGTGTTGTGGGTGCCCGGGACTCCAAGGCGAGACACCCTGGCGTCCGGCTGCGCCCGTTCTCTGCGGCCTCGCGTCCCCTCGTGCCCTGCAGCCCCCCGCACCCAGCGCCCTCCCAGGCCACTCGGCCGCCTGCGGGCACCGCCGGGCAGAGCCGGGCAGCAGCCCTGTCACTAGACAGCCCTCCCCGGCCCAGCACCCGCCCTGGGAGACAGGCGGGGCTCCGGGCGGGCCTGGCCCTGCTGGGGACCATGCCCGCACAGCTTGCAGGGCTCTGAGCCAGCTCCGCACCTCAGGCGTGTTCTAGAACACGCCGGCCATCGCTGGACCGGTGCCTCACCCCACCCTCCGCAACAACTGCTTGCAGCCTCCTGGAGACCCCAAAGCACGTGGGGCCTGGCTGGTGTTTCCAGCACACTGGTGAAGAGAGAGGAGCGAGGGGCGGGCGGGGGCGGGGCTCCGAGACTGCAGACAGGCCCCAGCCCAGGAGCCGCCACCCCAGACCCCCGTGTCCAGGTGGCTCCGGGTCCAGACGCGGAGCAGAGGACTCAGGCTGCGCTCCCCCACAGGGCAGCCTGGGGCCCGCACGCCGCACCCAGCCCATCGGTGAGCATCCTGGGGGCTGAATGGAGGGAGCCAGACCTCGGCCGGGCCTGGCCTGAGGCCCGGGCAGTCTCAGGCTCCCTCTCCGCCGGCGGCTGACGCGCCACTGTGCTTCCTGCCGGCGACCTGGACCTGCTCCGTTTCAGTAAGGCCCGGGCCGGCAGGCGCCACGCCACATCCGACTTTGTCTCCTCGGGAGCCGTGGGCACGGCCGGCAGCCTGCCACAGTGGCCGAGCTTCCGTGGCCGCGTCTCGTGGCCGAGCTTCCGTGGCCGCGTCTCGTGGCCGAGCTTCCGTGGCTGCTTTGCGCGGGCGCAGTCCTCTGGCGCTCACAAGTCTAAGGAGGGCAGCAGGCTGGCGGTGCTGACGGGCGGCCGGACTTGGGAGTGTGTGTGGGTGTGCGTGTGTGCGCTCGCGTGTGCCCGAGCCCGCGTGCCCGCGTGTGAGGCGTGTGGGCGCGCAGGCGGCGGCAGCGCAGGAGCCCGCCGGCCAGGACCGCCTCTCTGCTGCCAGGGTGACGGAGCCTTCCGGACGCCCGCGTCCCGCGCCGCGACCATGGCCTGGAATCCTTTCAACCTGCGCCAGGTGCGGTGTGAACCTCCCTGGATTTCCTCTTTCCTGTTTCATCCGAGAAATTCTTCACTAATTCCATGGTATCTGGTTTCTCGCTGTCTCTCCCCGCTAGGGCAGCCCCCGGGGGGGCTTCTGACGGCGGCGCTCACCGCGGGGCCTGCGGCATGGCCATGGCCAGGCCCCGGCCACCACCCGCCCGCGGCAGCCTCGCACCAGGCACCTCCTGTGACGTCCGGCCGGGGCCGGCCGGCTGGAAGCTGAGTGGGCTCAGGGGCCACGTCCCTCTGCAAGGCGGTGTCCAGCGGAGGCCAGGGACGCCGAGCGCCTCGTGACAGACGCTGCGGTGCGAGCGAGCGAGACACGGGCCTGTCACCGCCCTTCGTGGCCTGGTGCCGTCTGGGGTTGAGAACAACAGAAGTCCGGCTGCCGGGGAGGCCTGGGCTCCCTGTGGCCGGCGGGGGGCACAGAAGCAC